GGTGCCTGGCCGAGGTAATGGGCTGGATGAGGGCCATTACCTCGGCCAGGCACCGGTTCAGTACAGCCACTGCCTCACCTGGATTAGTTGAAAATGAGAGGTAGAGCTGTGTATCATCAGTGTACTGATGATTCCGCAGCCCACACCTCCCGATGACCTCTCCCAGTGGTTTCATGTAGATGTTAAATAGCAAGGGGGACAAAATGGACCCCTGCGGAACTCCATGGCATAACTGCCATGGCGCAGAGCCATAGTCCCCCAGCACCACCTTCTGGAATCGGCCATTGAGATAGGAGTGGAACCACTGCAAAGCAGTGCCTCCAACTCCCAATCCCGCTAGTCTATCCAGGATACCATGGTCGATGGTATCAAAAGCCGCTGAGAGGTCCAGGAGAACCAACAGGGATACACTCCCCCTGTCTCTCTCCCTGCACAGGTCATCATACAGGGCGACCAAGGCAGATTCAGTACCATACCTGGGTCTGAAGCCGGACTGAAATGTGTCCAGATAATCAGTTTCATGCAAGTGCGCTTGGAGTTGTCCCGCCACCACCCACTCTAACACCTTGCCCAGGAACGGGATGTTGGCCACCGGTCTATAACTGGTGGCCATCTCTGGATCCAGGGATGCCTTCTTTAGGACTGGCCGGACTACCACCTCCTTTAAAGGGGCAGGTACCCAGCTGTACCTTAGAGAGGCGTTGACATCCTCCAGGATCCAGGTCCCTATCCCATCCTTGGCTTTCTTAAGTAGCCAAGATGGGCAAGGGTCCAGTAAGCAGGTGGTAGGATATACTTGTCCAAGCACCTTGTCCACATCATCAGGCCGCAACAACTGAAACTCATCCATCAATTTTGGACCAGACGGCAACATTGGCACCTCCCCAGAAGGTTCTGAGTCACTAGTGGAGTCTAGCTTGTGACAAATCTGAGCAATTTTCTCCTTGAAATGTTTGGCAAAGTCGTCACAGCGGGCCATCAAGGGTGGCACGAGGTCTTTCTTGGGGCCTGGATGAACCAGCCTCTGTACCACCCGAAAAAGCTCCGCTGGACAGCATTGTGAGGAGGCAATGGAAGCGGAAAAGAATTTCTTCTTCGCCGCCCTCACCGCGACAGCATAGGCCCGATAATGGGCTCTTAAGTGTGTTCGGTCAGGTTAATCCCGTGATTTCCTCCACCTACGCTCTAGACGTCTCCCAACCTGCTTCATTGCCCATAATTCAGGTGTATACCAGGGGGATGAATGGGCTCTGCCAGGTGGGAGAGGACGCTTAGGAGCGATCGTGTTAATAGCCCTGGTAATTTCCCCATTCCACAGTTCAACCAAGGCATTGACAGAAGTACCAGCCTTATCAAACAGGAAATCCTCCAGGGCCTTCAGGAATCCATCCGGATCCATCCGGCTTCGGGGGCGGACCAACACAATTGGGTCCACATCCTTGCAGAGGGAAAGGCCGCTCTCAAGCTCAAACCTCACGAGGAAGTGATCTGACCATGACAGGAGTGTCAGACATAAATTCCTCAACCTCAGACCACCCTCTTCCTGCCCCATTGAGAAAACCAGGTCCAGCATGTGTCCATGCTCATGAGTCAGGTCTGTGACATGTTGAGACAGCCCCATGGCCGTCATGGAGGCCATGAAGACCTGAGCTGCCCCGGACAGACCAGTCCTGGCATGGAGATTGAAGTCCCCTAGGACCAACATCCTGGGAGCCTTCAACACCAAGTCCGAGACGATCTCCGTCAGCTCAGGCAGGGAGTCTGTTGGGCAGAAGGGTGCACGGTACACCAACAGAATTCCCAGTCTGTCTCGATCGCTCAACACCAAGTAGAGGCACTCTAGACCCGGCCTCGAGAGAACAGGAAGCCCCGTGAGGGAAATAGAGGCTCGGTAATGCTGGTTTTTTTAATCACTATGGAAGGTGAATAAAGTAACAGAGGTGTTCTTGTGCAGGTATGTCTAGATCTCCCCTTTTGCAAAGTCCTTTTGCAGTTGATTGGGCCCAGCCCTGTAATTACATGGGATCTGCTATAGCATTGGGTGCTTGCTTGGAAAATACTGGATGTTCAAAAACTTTCTGCCTCAGCACCCACTCTGGGATTACATCCATCCATCTTTCCAGTTCTATTGTACCTTCTGTGACTCTGGTGCCCACATTTAACTGACAGAGGGAGAAGAGCAGGAAATGGTGCCACTTCTCCATACCCAGGCTACCAACCACTCCAGCCGTCCCCCAGAGAGCCTCTCCAGTTGCCCTCCAGCATGGCACTCACCACGGCAAGAAAGGAGATGGTGGGGCTGCCCAGGGTAGTCACTAGCTGTCTTCTGTTGCCTTGCGAGTTCACACAGGAGCTTGGCTAGGCTGCAAAATCCCACTACAGCTCAGCTGGGTCTCGCAAGACCCAGGCGGCTTCTTCCTACAGCCACATGCCCGGACAGCCAAGGTAAAGGGTTGGGGGACAAGTGGTAAGAGCCCAGCAGTGTTAGTGCAAGGTGTCTCTTTCAGGCAGCAAGAGTGCTAGGGATATGGAAAGGGGAAGAGGAGTTTCTTTTAATCAGTGGCGGAGAGGGCATGATTTCTGGACCATGTTTGTGTTGGGTGGCTTTCACAGATCCAAGAGAGAAGGAGGATCACAGGACAAGACTTGTACCTCTTAAGTCAGGAATAATGTGACATGGGGTGACCCTGGGTGCTTCCTGACAGGCAGCTCCTAGCACCATGAAACAAAGGGCATTGTGCCTTTTAAGGCTGGGGGGGGGGGCGGGTTGCGGGGAGAGACACTTATGCTGCCTTTCCCCACTAAGGGGACTATTGTGAACAACAAAAGGATGGGAGAAGTAGTGGAAAAATGCAAGATAGTTTTCAGCAGGTAGATAATATCTGGGCTCTCTGTAAAATTCTGTGACTTGAAAGAGAAAAATGGTGTCATGAAAGCCTGGTTTGGAAGCATTGCTTTGTTAGGGGAAGGGGTGAGAGAGAATCAAGAGCTATTTTCTCTCTCCCACCTATTCCTCAGTATGTGTCAGGCAGAAACTAGGATTGCAGAGTTAGGTGCATACAGGAAGTCCCCTAAGCCTGGCAGTTCTGTGCCTCACTGAAGAGGCTGGGATTGTTTCCTTTCTCAGTTCAGAAATCTGTTTATCTGTGACAACAAATACTCTGTTGTTAAAACCATCAGGCGATACAGGCAACAATCCAGAAGCACGAGCAGACTCTGGAGATGTTCAAGCAGCTGGTCAGTGAAGATGAAACACCACCCAACTCGCCTGTGAGTTATTGCTCTGTCTTTGTGTGTGTGCGTGTGCATGAGATAGTCTTAAGAACAGGCAGAACTTTCAGCTGAAAGTTGCCAGAGAATGTGGGCTGAATTCTGAGCATTCCAAAGCCTTTTTCGGATGCTCCTAGCTTTGCAATGCTATAGACATCTTGGGCTATTTACCTGAATGTTGAAGTTTTGGGTTGGCTAGAAATAGGCTTTACTTCCTTAAGGCGTGCCATTTTGTTCCAGATATATTAACCTGCTTTCCTCCACATACAGGGGTGTGAACTGGGCCGTCGGGCACCCACGCCAATCCGAGAAAAAGAGGTGACCCTTTGTATGCAGTGCAAGGAGCCCTTCAATGCCCTCACAAAACGGAGGCACCATTGCCGAGCCTGTGGCCATGTGAGTGTGGGCAGTCATGAACGATGCCTTTCCCACTTTATATCACCTCTCCTGCTGGTTTGTTCCACCCCCCTCCCCTTTGGAGAGTGGGCAAGACACACCTTTTCTTTGTGAATAAACCAGTCCTTCCTGCAGGTTAACTTTGGTCCAAAACTACCCACTTCCTTATCCTGAAGCAACCTACCCCAGCCTGGTTCCATCTAGATTTTATCCACCCAAGCTAGCATGGCCAATGATCAGAACTACTAGGGGTTGTATTCCAGAAATCCTGACCACTGAGACCACCATGTTCAAAGATCCTGATAACCTTGAGCCAGCACAGTCTTAACCAATATAAACCTTTGGTAAAACCAAATAATAAAGTTCTTCTCTTTAATGGGTCTACAGCAGATGTAGCTAGAGTTTGTTGTGTTTTGTGCTATTTCTCAGCTGGAGGGTATGCAGGAGCAAGGGGCCTGCAGATAGAAAAGTGATATCAGCTGGGTGAAGGCAAAGCTGAATGGTTCTTTTGGGGCCTGCAGATTTTTCAGTGTGTGACAGCCCACTAATCTCCTGGAATGCTGATGTGATCCAGTCCAGTGAAAGTTTTTTAGCAATTGATTCTTCTGTGTGTATAAAGGACTGCTTTTTGTATTTTGTGTGTATAAAGTGACCACTGACTGCCCACTTGCTTGCTGCAGGTTGTCTGCGGAAAATGTTCTGAGTTCCGGGCCCGCCTGGTATATGACAATAACCGGCCCAACCGTGTCTGCACTGACTGCTATACAATGCTACAGGGCTCGCCTGCCAGCCCCGTCCCACACCCTAATACACCTCAGCGCCGAAGGTCCATTCTGGAGGTAAGAGTGATACTCCTCTGCACATCACATCCTGCTGGCATTGAGACACCTTCTGAAATGCGTTGTTTGGAGCAGTTCCTGCTTTCAGCCTCTTCCTTGCAGCTTCTCATATAGAAAAGCAACTTTCTTTGTCCTTGTGCTTCTTGCTATATTTTTTCCCTAGAGACTTAGGGAACAAGATACTGCACCCTGAAATGAGAGGTGAAGTTGCCTGCTTATAAGCCACTAGTATTGCTTTCCTGTAAGCACTGTGTTGGGGTCCAGAAAAGCCACATAATGTGTTGCTGGTTGCAGATATCCCTTTCCTTACCATAGCAGTGTTCAGTGCAGTCATAATAAAATCTTGCTGTTCCAAGTTTCTAGTCCACTCTGTTGAATATATGAAGCTGCCTTAAAACTGAGTCAAATTACTGGTCTATTTAGCCAATTGCTCACTGCTCAAACTGGTGACAGCTTTAATTCTTTCTATATTTTTAAAACAAAAGCTGAAATTTTTAAGAAGTTGAATTCTGCAGCCTTTCTCCACTTTTATCTGAAATTGTTCCCTAGGCACTGCCTCCAACCCTATCCTGGCTACATGGAAGCATTCATGCTAATATTGGGCAAAAAGCGGGGAGGGAGGGTACAAATATAGTGGATTGTCTATGGAGGTGTGTGGAACTGGCATCCTGAGAAATCCAGGTTCTGGTCCTCACACAGCCATGACTGGTTGACTGGCCAGTCACTCACTCTTGGCCAAGCCTATCTTATGTGGTTTCTAAGAGAATAAAGAGGCATGGAAGAGAACTATGTAAGCTGCCTCAGGTTCCTTGCAAGAGGAAAAGAGGTGGGATACAAATGTAATGCAGTAATATCTTCTCTAAGGATCTCATGGTTCTCCCATCCCCTTTTTATCTCACAACAACCTTGTGAGGTAGTTTAGGCTGAAGTTACCTGATTTGTGCCCGAGTAGGAATTTGAATCTAGATGGTCCCAGTCTGACACAGTAACTTAGGGATGTTGAACCTGAAGCCCACAAGTAAAATTCAGCCTGGGATTCCATCTAGAGTTAGCTAGATCTCTCCCACTGGCTACTGATCATGAGATGCTATCCTAGATTTTGCACTCTTCCCCCAGCTCCCTGTTAGAAAAGGTTGAAATGCTTGCCCTAAGGCCACATTACTAACAGCAAGACCTTTACATTATAAAATGCTGGTATTGTCACCCTACCCACCATCTAGAGCATTTCACCTCAATGGAATTCAACCCTTGGGCAAGGTATTGCACTGCCTTGGTTCTCTGCAAAACAGAGAACAGCCTCTCTGTGCCTGTGTTAACAGGACAGCCTGCTATCCGTGGAGGCGACTGTAGGCTTTACAAGAATCTTTCTGATCCTTCTGCAGAAGCAGGCGTCTGTGGTAGCAGAGAACAGCGTGATCTGCAGTTTCTTGCACTACATGGAAAAAGGAGGGAAGACTTGGCACAAAGGCTGGTTTGTCATCCCAGAAAATGAGCCGCTGGTGCTTTACATCTATGGAGCTCCCCAGGTATGGCAGCATCCTTCCATTTTTCTATCTGCTTCCTTTCTGTAACCTTAAGCGGCTGGGAAAGGGCAGGGCTCAAGCTTATAAAGCAACAAAAGGAGGAAGATGTGACCCAGTTTTGTTTACTAAATGTACTGCTAGACTGCTTTTCTAGATATAAAAGATCCAAAACATTTAAAAAATCAGATACAAATATGCAGTAAAAACACTACAAATAAAAACAACCTCTTTAATGCACTACCGCCTGATGTTAGACACAGCCCTGTCCCCACGTTGCTTATTCTACTCCCTACTACTGGCGGGGGGGGGGGGGGAAGCAGGGATTTGTCATCAAAGGCTCAGTATGAAGAGGAAGGCCATGCAAGGTGGTGCTGTTTATTCACCTGCTGTGAGAAACTCCAACAGAATCCCTCAAAGAGATTCTGTTTTGGTAGTGCTGATGTTTACAGCCAGGGAAGGCTCACTTGTCACAGCTTCTCAAAGGAGGAGGAATATCCCTCTTTTTGTTAAAGGATCACCTGATAGGGCAGGTGTTCAGCCTGTGGTTTTGGACTACAACTCCCATCAGCCTAGTTAGCAGAGCCAGGTATCATGGGAAATGTAGGTCAAAACTTCTGGAGGGCCACAGGTTCTTCGTCGTGGCCTCTGTGCTTCACACATATGGGTACTGTGCCTGCGCAGTGCCTGTGGCTGGAAGATTGTCAGCTAATGCTTTTTGGCGGGAAGCTCCGCTCCCCCTCCCCCGTGGCCTATAAAGAGCGGACCGTCCGCCATTTTGTTCAGTCTTTGCGACCGCCGTTCACTGTGCCTCGTGCCGCTTTCGACTTTCGCTTCGACCGTTACCTTGCTCTTGATTGTCCTTCTATTTTCCCAGTTTCTTCTCCTTGCTCCCAGTTCATTGTTCTGCGTAGTTTTTTCTCGTTTTTCCTTCTTTTGATCTATCTATCTAAAAAAAACAAAAAACAAAACAAAACCAAAATTATATACTTACCCTCTGTACTATCTCTCTCTTCTTTTTCTGCGATGGCGCAGTGAGCAGCTTTCTGCAAATGCGCGGACTGTGGGTCAAAAATGGCACCGACCCACATGACCTATGCCTCCTCTGCCTGGGAGAGGGGCATAGGACGGATAAATGCGCGCATTGCCTGGCCTTCTCCAAGCAGGCCAGGAAGAATCGCGAATATCGCCTCCGGAGACTCCTTTGGGATCGGGCCCTAATGCAATCGGATCCGCTTGTTGCCGTACCAAAACCTGGCTCCGCCTCTGCGGCCCAACCCTCACGGCTTTCGGATGAAGGTACGTCTGCTTCGGTGGCTCCCTCTGCTTCACCTAAAAAGAAGCACGAGAAGTGGAAGCATGCCGAATCCGAGAAGTCGGCAGGCCATAAAAAGGCCAGGAAGGAGAAAGTCTCCAAGCCTCCCAAGAAACCCCGGAATTCGGACCGTCCGGACCGTCCCTGACACCGGGACTCGAAACCGATGGGCCCCTTGGTACCGGTGGTGCTTACGGTACCGACTCCGCCCGAACTGTTCCTTCAGGAGGCTATGTGGGTTACCCCTCAAGGGTCTCCCCACCACGCGGTTGACCTCCCGCCTCCACCCCTTCCAACTCTACGGGGCTCAATATCCGATGGGGAAATCCAAGACTCCCCCCCAGGGCGAGGTCACTGACACCCATGCCCGCGGTCACCATGGAAGCGGACTTTGGACTGTCCCCACTGGGGAGCCAGAGGAGCCGCTCTGTAGAGCAACGTCTGGAGAGCTGGTGTTGCCCCTATTATCATACTTGGGGTGATCCACTCTCCGTAGGATACTACCCTGCTCCCAGGGCATGATCCTCTCCTCCATCCTGTGATTGACCGCGCTTATCGGATCCGAGGCGGGCGTCACCTCGATCCCCATAGGATGGAAGCAGCCGCTCCTTCTCCCCAGCGGAGTCGTCATCTTCGGCTCCACCCTACTACAGTGCCGATTCGGCCGACTCGGAGGCCGACTCAACCTCCCCGGACATCGCCGTGACATCCCAGCGTCCTACGTCGCCTGATGAGTCCCACGTCTCCTTCGCGGAGCTGATGTCTAGACTTGTCCAGTCCCTTGACATCGACGCCGTCCAGTGCCCGGGACTGACGACGGACAAGTTCTACGATGTCGTCCACAGGGAGCGGTCGACATCTATCGTCCTGCCGCTCATAACCACCTTGCAGCAGGCGATGACGCGGCCCTGGGATCTGCCATCACACCCTCAACCGACGTCCAGGAGATATAAGTCGATGTACAGGGTTCAGGAGGAGGACATCCCCTTCTTCCTCCGACATCCCAAACCGAACTCTGTGGTCGTCGAATCCTCGCAGGGCAGAGAGGCGAGAGGGCACACGGCACCGAGGGACAAGGAGGGCCGAAAAATAGATTCCCTGGCTAGGCGAGTCTACGCTGCTTCAGGCCTGGGGCTCCGCATATCAAATTACGAGGCGACGTCGGCGAGGTATCGATACTTCATTATGCAGCGCCTGCACAACGTCACCTCCACCATCCCAGACCACCAGGGTGAGCTCGCGAAGTTCCTGATTAAGGAAGCCATGCAGGTCGCGGTGCAGCAGTTATCCATGGCAAGGCACCACGTGGATACTGACTCACGGGCCTTAGTTGGTGCCGTTTCTCTCCGAAGGCATGCATGGCTTTGGAATTGCAATTTTCCGGAAGAAACCAAGTGCCGGATAGGGGAAATGCCTTTCGATGGATCCAGGCTTTTCCATTCTCGCACCGATCACAAGCATGAATCGAGGATGACAGCACGCAGGATGGAGATACAGTCCCACGCCAGACGTAAGTGGTCCTGGAATCGTCCATCCTACAGGCAATCATATCAGCCAAGGCAACAGCCACAACATCGCCAGCAACAGCAGCGCCGCCATCCGCAGCCCCAGCAATGCTTCCAACAAGGCCGCCGCCGTTTCGACGATCGGAGGCAACGTTGACGGGACTGGCGAACCATTCCTCACACTCCACCAATACCCACCCCCATCTCATCTGGGGATCGGCTTCGAAGCCGACTCCCCATTTGGGAGTCCATCACATCTGATCGGTGGGTATTGTCCATCGTTCAACACGGCTATCGAATAGAATTCGACATCGTTCCTCCACCGAGTCCGATCCGGTTCACTTCATGTTCACCGGTACTGCTTGACGAAATACATCAACTTCTTCGTAAAGGAACGATTCGTCAAGTATTCCCATCTGACGGACTCCACGGATTCTATTTCAGATATTTTACGGTCCCGAAGCAGGATGGTGGTCTATGTCCGATTTTGGACTTACGGAACTTGAATAAGTTCATTGTACCGAAAAAGTTTCGTACGACTACCCTTCAAAACATTTTGCCATTGCTAAGGAGAGAGGATTTGTTCACCTCATTGGACTTGAAGGACGCCTACTTCCATATTTCAATTCACCCAAGTTACAGGCGTTTCCTTCGTTTTGCGGTTGCAACCCAACTTTATGAGTTTACAGTTTTGCCTTTTGGATTGGCTACGGCTCTGAGGGTATTTACCAAGTGCATGGCTCCTGTCTGTGCTTTTCTACGCCTCCAAGGCATACAAATTTACCCGTACCTCGACGACTGGCTGTTAGTGTCGCAGTCCAGAGAAGGTCTCCTTGCGGCCATCCATACAACTTGTGCCTTGCTTAATAGCTTAGGCCTACGTATTAATACCGAGAAATCTTCTCTTCTTCCAACACAGACGCTCACCTTCATTGGAGCCCGCTTGGATTCGACGTTGGAAAAAGCCTTCCTCCCTCAGGACAGACAAAAGACTCTTGCTCGCCACATCCATCGAATCCGACAAGATGGAATGGTCCTGGTGAAGTCTATCCAGAGGATCCTGGGGCATATGGCTTCCTCAGTTGCCGTAGTTCCGCATGCCAGGCTTCGGCCGCTGCAACTCTTTTACAACAAGGTGTACCATCCTCAAAGACATCCACATTCGAGGTTGATTCGGATCCCATCTTCCGTGCTTCACTCTCTGCTTTGGTGGTTGGAACCAACCAATCTTACGACAGGAGTCCCCTTCAGGGTGCAGCCTCCTACGATAACCCTTGGCACCGACGCATCTCTTCTAGGATGGGGAGCGATATGCTCTGGCCTATCTACCCAGGGTACATGGAATCGTCGAGAATCCACGAATCATATCAACTTCCTAGAACTACTGGCAGTATTCAAGGCCCTGCGCTCTTTCGAGGACATCCTTCATCATCAGATCGTTCAGATAACTTCGGATAATATAGCTACCGTCTTTTATCTGAACAAGCAAGGGGGAACAAAGTCACCGACTCTAGCCAGACTTTCTATGAAAATTTGGGACTGGTGCATCTGGAGACACATCATGCTGATGGCTGTTCATCTAGCTTGTGTGGACAACGTGCAGGCGGATCTTCTCTGCAGGCACATGTTCACCTCTCACAAGTGGGAATTGGATCCTTGCATGCACAACCACCTTTTCCGGCGCTGGGGGTTTCCCGACGTGGACTTATTCGCCACCCAACAGAACAGGGTGTGCGAGGCTTACTGCTTGAGAGCGGGAATTGGATACGCATCCCTAGGGGACGCATTCATGATCCCTTGGAACAATATGAACTTCTACGCCTTCCCTCCGATCCCTCTTCTGATGCGGGTCATAGCGAAGATAGTGCACGACCGAGCATCGAGGATACTAGTTGCCCCTTGGTGGCCACGTCAAGCGTGGTTTGCGAAACTACTCGACATCTCTCGCGGGGAATTTCTTCATCTACCATCGCTTCCATATCTTATAACACAAGTGGACGGCACACTTCGCCACCCGGACTTGCTCTCATTGAATCTAACAGCATGGCGAATTCGATGATTGACATTCCATCGGTGCCAACGACGATTTCAAGAATTACGAATCCGACAGCTTCTATTAATCCATCGGTACCGGCGACGACTTCGACCAACTCGGATCCAATTGTCGAATCCAATCACTCAGGTGCTTCCCTTTTCTCTGGTCTCTCTGTACCATCGGGTTCGAGACAAGACCCGTTGAATCCAACGTTTTTGCACCCTGATATTCAGCATATCATCGACTCTGCCTTAAAGCCGTCCACAAGGAAGTCATATGAGGCTAAATGGAAACGTTTTTCCACCTTTGCCGAGTCTCATTCGTTCTCTCCATTCCTCTCATCTATACAACAAATTCTTCAGTTCCTCTTGGAATTGCACCATTCTGGATTGAAGCCATCACCCATTAAAGTATATACAGCTGCAGTAGCCTACTACCGTAGCTTAGTTGACGGATCACCTCTGTTTTCTTATCCTATCCTCAAAAGATTTTTGAAGGGACTATATAATCTTAACCCATCAATTAGACCGGTGATGCCCACATGGAGCCTTTCTGTAGTTCTACAGGCCCTTATGAAGGCCCCCTTTGAACCTTTGGCGACAGTGGATCTGCGATTGGTCTCTTGGAAGACAGTGTTTCTTGTGGCTGTCACTTCAGCCCGGAGGGCCAGTGAACTTTGTGCCCTTCACATAGACCCTCCTTATTTGAACTTTCATAGGGAGAAGGTCGTTTTACGCCTTGACCCGTCTTTCTTGCCTAAAGTGTCTACACCTTTCCATATGGGACAAGACATTGTGCTGCCTGCCTTTTTTCCATCACCGTCGACTCCATTGGAAAGATCTTTGCATTCACTCGATGTTCGGCGTTGCATAGCCTTCTACCGATCGCGAACGGAGTCTATTCGACGATCCAATAAACTATTCATCAAATATTCTGCTAGGGATCAGGGCGATCCAGTTACTCCACAGAGACTTTCTAAGTGGATAGTCCACACTATAGTCTTATGCTATCAATTAGCTAAGCTCGAACTGCCTTCAGTTCCTCGAGGCCATTCTGCTAAAGCCGTTGCAACCTCGTCTGCATTCGCATCCGGGGTTCCGCTTGATGACGTCTGCCGAGCCGCCACTTGGGAAAACCCTTGCACCTTCGCCAGGCACTACCGTCTCGATGTTCGAGCTCGACGGGATTGCTCCTTCTTCAGAGCTGTCCTCAACCCGTTCTTCAATGAGGACACCTTCCCTCTTCCTTTATGGTAAGCTTGTTAATCTACCCATGTGTGTGATGCACAGAGGCCATGACGAAGAAAAGCAGGTTGCTTACCTGTAACTGATGTTCTTCGAGTGGCCATCTGTGCACTCACACAACCCACCCGCTGGCCCCGCTCGGTGTCAGTGAGTGGATGCATCTTTCGGTACCGACCATGCCCTTTTTTCATGGTACCGACTTCAAAAACAGAAACAATTTTTTTTCCCATAAAGTGGCATACGTTCGGTCGCAAAGACTGAACAAAATGGCAGACGCTCCGCTCTTTATAGGCCACGGGGCGGGGGGGGGGGGAGCAGAGCTTCCCACCAAAAACCATTAGCTGACAGTCTTCCGGCCACAGGCACTGCGCAGGCGCAGTACCCATATGTGTGACTGCACAGATGGCCACTCAAAGAACATCAGTTACAGGTAAGCCACCTGCTTTTCCCAACTCCTCATACAGTCTTCAGACCTCCTTAAGAGATCCTGCCCCTTTTGACTTCATGGGTTGGGCAGCCCTTTTGGGAGGGGAATGAGGCTCTTAGCTCACACCACTTCAGGGTGGGAGGGGTCATCCTATGTTCCTGCCCTTCACAAATGGGCAACTGTTAAAGAGACAGGATACTCACCCAATATGAATACTGACCCACCTGACAGTGCATCACCTGGAAACATCTTTCTGGTTGGAGGGGAAGCTAGGCAAGTCAATCAATTTGAGCTCAGCCTTCCCAACCTACTGTTCCCCAAATATTGTCTCTGCCAATCAGAGCTGATGGGAACTCTACTCCAAAAACCACTATTAGGTGCGAGGTTGCGGAAAGCTGAGCTAGGCGCTCACAGCCGCTCTTACACCACGTCCTTTGACACAGAGTTGCCTATCTGTTCTGCAGGATGTGAAGGCCCAGCGCTCAATGCCTCTGATTGGCTTTGAAGTGAACCTTCCTGACCCTGGAGAGCGGGTGGATCGACGCCATGCCTTCCGGATCAGCCAGAGCCACCTCTGCTGGTATTTCAGCCCTGAAACAGAGGAGCTGCGACAACGATGGATGGAGGTGCTAAGCCGGGCAGGCCGTGGAGAAGAAGCCAAAGGGCCACCTTCAATCCTGGAAACAGATGAAGATACAGAGGCAGAGAGAACCTAGACAAGGATGCTTGTGAATTAGGAAGTATTGACTCTGCCCATGCTGGGAACTGGCTCACCATTCTCCAACCAGTATACTTGAAACATTTTCTCTCTTTGGCACTTTCTTCCCTTCTTTTCTTTGTCAGCATTAACAACTTGCCATATGTGACCTCCTGCCTCCATGTTACAAAGGCCTGTGCTCAGCCAAGATGTTCCCTGCCACCCCCAGCTGCAGCAGCGATGCACACGCACTGAGATTTTGCTCCAGGCCAGTTCCTGTTCCCAGCTGTAGCATGTGGGAACCCGCTTCTCCCCTTTCTTTCTTTCCTTCTCTCTTCTACACAGAGAGAAACTGATTCAAGAGGGTGGCTATCTTCCCTCTGACACGTGCTTCCCCCTTGTTTACAACCTGTACCAAGATCTGTTCTTCCAGTCCTCCACTGCTTATTTAGCACTTACTGAATGGATCTCCACTGCAGTGGTTTGGGAAAGGGTGGGCGCAGGGGAACAATGGAAAAGCGAAAATCAGCATGGAGCAATTATGTCAATGGAAGGGAGGTGTCCTCTCCAGAGCATTTTGTTCACTTTGTCACCCCTGCCCCCCATGTTTCTGTGAGATTAGGTGAAAACTTTGTCATATTCCTCACACTACCAGCCACTTTTGGGGTAGAAAAGGCTAATTTTAGCCAGCCTCAAATTTAGCAGGTGGATGATATTCTGTTCTAACTTGAAACCTGTCTAGGAACAGAACCTGCTTTAAGCTCATACAGACTGGGAGATAAGGGCTAGTTTGGAGGAGGGATACAGTCTCTCTCCAAGAAGGCAGTCTACTTTGAAGAGTTGTTACATTCCATTGCACAATTCATTCTCCCTTCCCCTGCCATTTTCTGGGTTCTTTTAAGGGCACAATTCACCTGGGGTTCTCCTTTGTACACCCCACTAAAGTTGAAGGGAGTTGCATAGCACTGAGGTAATGCTCACATAATACCCATGCTTCCTGTTTGTGTTGAAGACTAATTTTTAAAAAATTTAAATAGGTTGTATGCACTCTTAGTTCTACTTAGAATAGACCCATTGAAATAAATGTGATTTCAGTTAGACTAACCTTGGATATTACAGTATAAATGGCAAATTGCACTCAGAGGCCCCTACAAAACAGAAGACCCAATAAAATTGCATTAAAAGACGAGTTAAATCAACAAGTAAAAGGGGAGTAATAGGTAAGTATCTAGGGAACAAAGTTTTCAGGTGTGTTTTGTAAGAACCAAGCAAGTTGGTAGGTGCTTGGGAGAAGAGCTGCCAGGCCTAGGACTGAATCCTGGCACTAAGGCTACCATGTGCTTGAGCAAAGCAGGGCAACAGAATGATACTCCACAAGCTCAGTATGAATACAGTCAAGACTTTAAACAAGGCCCTGACAGTCCAAGTACCATTCATTTCAATATAAATATAAGAATTGCCCTGCTGAATTAGGCAAGGTCCATCCAATATGGCAGAGGGTCTCAAAATTGAAGAACAGTCTTGAGCTTTGTATTCATTTGAAGTTTTACACAATGATGATTCTGGCTGTTTGACCAGATTCCTGCACAGGCTAATGAGGCCCTGATGCCATCATGCTTTTCTTGACATAGAGCTTAGTACAGTCTACTAATTTCTCTCTAAAAATGGCTCTTCTCAGCAGTTCGGTCCAGGTCATTATTGTCATTCAGCACTTTTTTTGCTGCTGCTGCTGAAGGAAGCATGTTAGTGGAAGATGTGCTATGTCTGAGCTTTGATTTATAGAACAACAGAAAAGTTTAGGTGTTGCTTCAGAACCTCAAGGTCAGGGTATGACAGCAGCAGAGCCATCTTCTTTCCCGTTCCTTGTCCCCAGCATATGGTTCTCTGAGGTGGCTGTCCTTGCCTGAAATGGGAGCACCATTTACTCACCCACGCATGCAAGTATGATGGGTGCTTTCAGGCGGCTTTGAAAAAGCAAGCCATACAACAGGGTGCTTGTTCAGAAGATGCTCCCAGTAGATTATGTCAAAGGAAATTGTTATTTACAAGGGCCAGGCAAAACTTATCTCTCTCACACACCCCTTTTCTCGAATGCAATTGCTTCTCCTTGACTCAATGCACTTACAACAGCTGAATTTAAACGCACTTGAAACCGTTGAACATTCTTGAGTTCTGTTCTGATCTTTAGTGGATCATCTTGAACATTCCTGTGACCCCATGGCTTTTTCTCTCCCTTTGCTGGTACTGTTTTAACTTAAAATGAGGGTGATGCTCCTTTTTAGAAAGCTGATCCCTGGCTTTGTTTCATGTAGGTTTCCTGGTGGTGCCCATCCCTGTTCTGTGTCTTCCCCCCAACCTATGGTGTAGAACTAGTGCATGTAACTTTTATATTAAAAAGGCTCAGTATTAAGGGATATACAAAATCTTACCAAAATAATATTTTATTGTTGTTCATGTACAGTGGCTGGCCACTACAGAGGTTAGGGAAAGGGAGCTTCTATTGACAAAAGTGTCCCTATCTCACAACCGAGATTTGTGTAATGTCCATTTTACTTTCTAGTTTCATTGTTGTATTTTGTTTTCCATTGTCCATTTTTTAAAAATACAGTATTTTGTTTTTCTGTCATACTCATCTCTTTGCTTGTGTAAGGGCGAGCACACAATCTTTTCCTTCTGAGGCTGGGATGGAAGGAAGCAAGTTAACCCACTTTGGTCTTCTAGGGGATGGGCTACTTGAAGGGAAAGAGCAGAGGCATGGGATATCCTGAAACAAGTGCCTCCAATGAGGCAAGATGGGATGCAGCTACAGAGGACAGTTTTCCTTTGTAGAAGAATCTACAGCACTGCTATCTGCCATCGCCAACCCCAGGAAAAGAGTGAAGGCAGCAGATGGTATCTCCTGTTTGTTGTAGAGGAAACAACCTAAAGGATCAGAAAGCCTTATGCCTAGATCCTATTCTGTGCAGGAGAGTTTCTGCAAAGGCACAAGCATGAGGATGCACAACCAATGTTAGGCCAAGTGCAAAGCTCCTAACATGCCCAAGGCCAAAAACTCCTCTGCAATTCAGGCTGCTTCCCTCAGCACTTAGTAAAGAAACATCCAAGCCTAGGAAACAAGGAATTCCATGTCCCCTGCTATATCCATGCAGTGCAAATCTATGCAGGAATCTTACACTCATGGTCTTCCACTCTTGCCTTCATTTCTTTTTTTTCTTCACCAAGGTCCAACCACCTTCTGCCTCTGCATCCGATGGAGGTGGTGGAAGGCTGCATTGTGATTCATTTGTGCTGGGGGTGGCATTGCAGTCCATGGCCTGGGTTTGGGGGAGAAAGGAGGCATGTTAAGTGATTGGACTAGCCATTAGTGCCTATCTTTGACCAGTACATACAGTTACAAATTTTAAAAAGTTCTTGGTTAAAAGCCGTTTTTAACCTTCCTCAATCTGACACATAACAAGGAAGGAATTCCTAGGTTTAAGTAGCCAGAAGGCTCAACAACAATATGTCCCTGAGCAAGCTTAAGCAGTCACAAACTCCAGGCCTTTCAACACAATTGCAGCATTTAAAACTGGGTTTACAGTGGGTTTCTAAGTGTCACCTGGCAAGCTTACTGGGAGTACACGCAGAAGGCTTCAATCATTGGGGGCTTTGTTCTGCATTGGGATGGCCAGCCATCCTCCATGGCATTCAGCCATGTTTCCCGTCTCATTACCCTTATGCTACCTCACCAAGTTTTGGTTGAGCAAAGCCTAGAACTTGGACGAGGCAGACTAAACCTGTTTACCCACAGACCCACTGATGGATGCAGTTTAATTTTCAGAACACTTTTTGCCATACCTCTTCCTCAGTCGTCGTCTCCTCGTCACTGCTGCTTTCTTCGGCTGGCTGTGATTTTGCTGCTGCCAGCCGAGCACCATGCTGCTTCTGGGCCAGCCGGACAATGGCTTCATGCACTGCTGCACTGTTTCCCTGCTGGCACTGAGTGAAGAACTGGCACAGTTGCTGGCTTACCTATCATGCAGGACAAAGCGCCTTTCAGTAAAAAGGGCAGCCCCATTCCCAGGCCAAGCACTCTAGGGCATCTTACTTCCACTACGTTAGGGCATTTACAGTTCTCAGGGTAGAGAACCAAAGCCAGGAGGTCCTATTCTTAAAAAGATCTGCATGTTTCTGGTGAAGCTAGTTCTCACAACAATATTAAAACCAGATGAGAAAAATATGCCAGCACACCTGCCTCACCAATATATAGTATCCAGAAGGGCAAGATCTTGACATAAAATGTCATGGTCTGCTAATTAATGCAATGACTGTTTTAACCATTCCAAGCCAGAGGAGCAGACTGGAATTCAGGCCCAATTGCTCCTTAATTGTTTTTGCAATTAAGGCATTTCAGTTTAGGCTCTTCAACATTAGGTAACTGAGAAAGATCAACAATGATAAATATCATTTTTATCCAATGCTTTCTACACAGGAGTTTGGAGTAGAAAACATTATGCCTCTCCATGGTCCTGATGTTATCCTTGCTTTCAACATGTGAGGAATGTCAGGCTGGGGGACAGTAACTGACCCAAGGTCACTTGCAGGTTTTGGAGTCAAGGAGGAATCTGAATTCGGTCACCCTAGTATAATGCTTTAGTCCACCCTTCCCCAACTTGATGCTTTCCAAAAGTGTTGGGGCTACAGCTTCCTTTACACCCTTCCAGCACAGCCCTAGCTAACATACCTGGTGGGTAGCGGGATGGGGAAGCCTGCTCTATCCACTCCAATACACTGGCTCTCAACTGACTGAATGCAACTGATCCTAATAAAGTGTACATTTTCTTCAGTGAACAAATTGGGCATCCTGTCATCTTCCAGTGTCTCTCTTTGTTGTACAATCCCATACAGTGCAAAAGGAAGAAGAGCATTCAGAAGCACTTGGCTCTAGGGATATGGCATGCAACTTGATCTGACATTTCCTTTCCTGTTATATATATTTAGTAATGGGTGGCACTGACAAGTCCCTCTCCATGGGCTTCCTCCTTCTATCCACCTCCAGGTCTGTTCTGTGCCAGTTCCATGTGGATAAGTTCTTTTAAAGGGTATATTCGGGGGTATTTTTAGAAAAAAAATCCATTTCATGTATACTTTTTATGCTGCTAAGTCTTGACTAAAGTATTTTTCACACATTTTAAAAACATTTTTCTTTGCACACTTCTCAAATATACATTTTTTTTCAGATGCATTATATGGAAAAGTGCAGAGTTCTGGGTTCCATTTGTGTCTGGTCTGTGTCTGTCTTCAGGTGGTGCAGCCAAATGCCCCCCCCCCCAAAAATTAAAGGGATGAGATTTTCTCATACTTCCCTTTATGTCCATTTGTAGTACTTTGGTATATGCAACAACAGTGCCTCCCAGTGGCAAAGTGCAACCAGTTCATTCCACAAAGACAAGAGCAGGTTAAACCACTGCCAGGCAAGACTGTACAAAAGATGAATAGCATGGAGAGGAAGGGGGAGGTGTGGCAAGGAAAGCAACCCTAACCTTTATAGACAGAAGAATCAGTCTCAAGCCAAAAGATGCAGCTTTTAAACAAATCTAATAATTCAATACATAAATAGGTTGAGAATGTAAACTCTCTTATATAAGCCAGGGCAGGAACTGGATTTGTATGACTGCCCTTCAAATTCCAGAATGTAGCTTCCAACTCTATATGGACTACATCTATCAGCATGCAACTACCTCTTTGTTTCAAAAGGGATTTTCTTCTATACTTGCAGAAAGGCCTTGTAAAGGCAAAGCCTCCAACTTCCTGTACATTATTTAGCTTCTGGTGCACTTGCAGGCTCCATCTGTGAGATTGTGAAGTTTTGGTCTTGCCTCATAATCGGTTAAAGTCTTTCTCTCAAGTTTCTTTTGAGAGAAGAAACTGAGAATGAATGGTTTCAAGATTAGCTATCATGCTTGAAGCTTTATTTCTGACTTAGACCCTTGCCTGCTGGTCGTGACACTGTACTGTGATGGATTTCATGGGATGTTGGCATGGTGTGTGTCCTGCCTTAGAATGGGCATTTGGAGTAATGACCACCTGGACTGTTCAAGCCCTTGGTTTTTAAGATGTGCAAGCATCAGCATGGAGATAAGCCAGCATGCCTTATTAGAAATGGCTGAGATGCAGGCACTTTTGCAGACTAATTGACTAGGCTGTTAAAACCAACCCCACACTGGGCCAATCAAAAGTGTGGATCAATACTGCAGCATGGGAAGATCAGGGTACCCAAGAAGAGTAATTCTGGCTAGATACAAAACAGGAGGAAATATCAGAAGGTGCCGAGTTCCCTTTTAATCAAGAAGAACATAACAGAAAAGGAAGACAGGTGAATCTCTTTGTGACTGTGGAAAGAATCATGTCTGGACCACACAGCGAGTGCTTCATATTGGAGAGAAATACTCTTGTGACTGACGGCTCCTCCTTCCAAAGTTAATCATTTTCTACATGTACAAAACTAAATGCAAGGAAAGAAAAGTTCTAATATAATTTCCTCTCTTGACATGGTAATTTTGTAGCTGCAGGTTATTTGATTTTACATGGAGTAGCATGTGATCATCCAGCAGCAATCTGGAGTTGTTCAGGACCTTCTCATCTCTGGGGAAAAATAAGCCCCAGAAACAGCACAGTGATACGCAGAACAGTCCACCATATGCTTGCTCCCAGGCCAACTGAAAATCAAAGTCATGATACTTACCCACCAGCCAAGGGCAGGCAAAGATCTGAATCTAAATAAATAAATTAAATCTGGCTTATGTTTTCAAAATGGTCACATGACCTGGGAAAATTACCTGTCCAGTCCCAAAAAGCACCATATTGGCAATCCAGTGGCACTGGAAATCAGGTGTAGAGGAAAGAAAAGTTGTGATTTCCCTTTCCTTATAGTTTAGCATATGAAATACCTGGGCCAAGCTTCCATCTTCTACCATTGTGTCAAATTCATTGTTCATCAACTCTGCAAGGACATCTTCTATCTCTTCTGGCTCCAGGTCAGCTACAGGGAAAGTTAACAAGTAAAGAGCGCAAAGGGGAACGATTGCAAAGATCACAAAAGCTATGTATAGAGTTAGATTTTGAGTTCATCTTGGCACTGACAGGCAGTGGCTCTTCAAGGGTTCAAGCTGGAGGTTTTCCAGCCCTATCTGAAGATCACAGGGATCAAACCTGGGACTTTCTGCATGCAAAGCAAGTGCCCCATCTAGCACTGAATCATGTATGCTCCAAGGTATTCCTAACTAGATATTTCCTAAGCGTACTCTTGGGGAAGAAATAAGGGTCCTCAGCCATGCCCTTCAACACTGCAACCTGCCAAATCCCAACTGCCCTGCTGGAGCTGGCACAGAGGCTTGCACTGTTTTCCTCCAGCCTCCCGGCATAATCACACACAAGACAGTGAGTATATGAGCCTTGATCCCAGGGCCCCTGGTGAAACTGCCTCTCTTCTGGGATCAAAGACATTAATCAGTAGCCACTTGGGGACTCTTCCAATTTGGAGTTTTCAGAATTGTAATGAGGACGACTCCTCTCTCTCTCTCTGTTTGGTTGCTCCACTTTAAAAGTTCAAACTTTTTCCTGATCTCATGACCATGAGAACCCCAATTTAAGAGAAGTCTGAATGAAAAAGCAGGTACACTCGTGCCCAATAGCTCTCTTGCTGCTGCAATGGATGGCAGCAAGACCAGTCCGACTTGGGCAGCCTGCAGTGTTCGCACGAAGTAAAACTAGGGCCCACCATGTGTGTGTGTGTGTGTGTGTGTGTGTGTGTGTGTATAAAAATAACCTGGATTTGTATACTCCTTTCCAATAAAATTAACAAAGTAGTTAACATAATTATGTTATTAAAAATAAAATAACTGTGAGACAATAAAGCTATCATCAGAACTGGCGGAGTCACACCTCTGGGAAGGCTTGTTCAAAATGGGTGGTTTTAAAGCAGGTACCTCAGAGGCAAAGCTGCAGATGCCTGCCTTAATAGGCCAGGGGTAGGCAAATTCTTTCAGTTTTGGAGATGCTCTTGGGGCTGCATTCCAGAGGTGGAAAGAGCTGAATGAAAAGGGGGTGAGGCCAAAAATACAAAAAAGCTAACAGTATTTGAGACTCCTGATGCCACTAACTAAGCCTTGGGAGAGGCATTTGAGGTTTTTAGAATTGGTGGGGGGGATGTGCAATCAAGCCAGTGGTTGGGGGAAAGGGAAGTGTGTGTAGCTGTCTAGGAAACCAGAGGATTTGGCCTGGCCTGAAGTTCCCCAGACCTGTGATAAGAAATAGATTTCAGAGCAAAGCTGCTACAACACTCAATGCCTGATCACAAGCACTGCAATACCATCAGAAGTCCTTCGAAGGATCATGAAGACTACGCAGAGACATATGGGGTGAGGTGATACAGAGTAACCTGATCCCAACTTGTTTGGGGCTTTACACAGTAATGATCACACTTAAACCTTAGCTGTTGTTTACTGGCAGTTCTCATCACAGAGGTGCAACATGTTGAAAAGGGCGCCGTGTGATTGTGTTCCCCACTAGGCCAAGGGTAGTCCAACACAGAGCACATTATAATGATCCAGTCTCAATGCCTGAACTACCCTGGCTCAGCTACCACCATCCAGAACAGCTGCTGCTACTGACAAGGCGAGGACAAGGCTCTCTGGTGCTGACCAGGGGAGTATTGCCATTATTCTGGGCAGATCATGGACAGCAGAGGAAAAACAATATACATCCCCAAGGGTCTGCCACCTGGCTCAATGGAACCCCTTTTTCATGTACCTCACCATTGCTTTGGAAGTACTGCTCCACGGCCTCCACCATCCATTCAGCTTTCTCTTGGCTGTAGACTCCTCCAAAGCCATTTTCAACTGCAATCTGAAAAAGACAAGGTCAAATTCATTAAAAAGGAACTGGGCAGTTCTGCTACAAGCAAGCTTCCAGTTAATAAGATGATATGCTTTAGGAGTGCCGGAGCTGGTTTGGTCATACCTTTTACTGCCCTCGAAAACAGACCTTTTCAGCCCTGGTTGAGTTTGAAATACAAAACAAAACCACCTCAGGCTTTCTGCTTTCAGAAGATGAACTGGGGGAAAGACACAGCTACTGAGGTGATGGGGTTAAAGCCACAACAGGTGCCTATTAGTTTGAAACTGTAACATCCACAATGTCTCACCACCACCAATCCCTACTGCAGTACTTGTTTGTCTGTTAGTTGAAGGAGAAATCTACATACACACATGCTACTTGTATGAGTCAAGCAGCACGCACAATGAAAGGGACAAGTTCATTCCTAACTGAGTGAACCTTCAACTGTTTTGTGTGCAGTTTTGTACCCACTCGCAAAGCTGGGTTCACAGGATGGATGAAGAACTCATTGCTACCATCAAAAATTAAAATGTATAATGTTACATCTTCACCCATTGTTTCTCCAAAGCTTCTGGTTCTTTAGAATTATGAAGCATACTTCTAAGCATACTTACGTAAAAGCCCTTCCATACGCACCTGTGTTTCATTGTATTTTCAGCTATTAAATGTATTAATATTTCCATGACCAGACACAAGTAAAGCCCGCCATCCAATGGTTCCGATCATGTTGGTTGACCACCAGTTTTGTGTTTTGGTATCATATTTAATCTCTTTCTTGGTGCATCTTTCTAAAGAGAGATCAAATGTTCTCTTTAGAGTTTTGTTTTTATGGAGTGTACTAGACACTTAGGCTCAAGAAACTGATTGGCCTACTTTAAATTCTCCCAGTCTTGCTCCACACACAGCTGACTCAAGAATAATGTCACACTGGTTTTTCAGGTGCAGGAGTTAATTGTGCAAATATAAAATGAACGTATGGTAATCGAGAAATGTGTCACCAGTGTTTGGAAGTGGGCACAAAGGATGTAAGAATGCCAAGAACACTTACTGTTTAATTATTTCTATATTCACTCAGAAGCAAGTCCCATGGAGTTCAACTGAACTTACTGCTATGGAAGTACACACAGAACTGCAGGTTTACCATTGTGTGAAATTGATCTCATAGTTTGGACCTCTAGTAAACAAAGATCCAACACATCAGAAAAAGGCCTACAGTGGTACATTACTGGAACAGCAGCACGTGCTACCCAAATTGTGTTGTGAGCCGCCCCGAGGCTTCGGTGAATGGGGCGGCATAAAAATGTTTTAATAAATAAAAAATAAATCCCACTATCCAACTAAATTCCAGAGAGATAGTCATGTTAAGCCTGTTGCAACTAAACAGAACTTTCTTGTATACCATCCTATGGTACTTGGTGGCCAATCTGCATTGTTATTCTACCTGTGTTGTACAGACAGTTTAACTGGGATTTGGTTACTGAGATGCCACAAAGGTCCTATATATATCCCTCAGCATTTGATAAAAGTAATGGCATGGAATAAGGCAGGGATAGGCAGAAGGAAGACCAGAGATCTTTTGGAAGATTAGCAAAAGTTCTCATTCTGATTTTAAAATAGAAACAACAGAACAACCCCTTCCACTTAAACTAGGCCTCTCAAATGAAGAAAGTTTGAAGTAGCCATTTGCGGATTTTTATACAAGCTCAGGTCAGTTTTACCAATGCAAACAAGTTCTCAGGCTTAGAATGTGCTGGGAGATGCACTTTTCTTTAGTTCTAAGTATGTTTTTTTGCACCTGCCTCTGAATGATGGAACTTGGGCTTCTAGGGGGAAAAAGAAGTGTGCCCAACAGGTTTGAGTCTGTCCATCTGCAGATACTTCAGAGACAACTTTTACAGCATATTAAGACAATGTCATCAGTCACTTGGGTTTCCCAATGGCTTTTTTCAATCCCTTTTCAGTTAGGAATGATGGAATTGCTGCACTGTGCCTTCTGTGGGCACAGAAGCTTCCATCCAGAGAAACGGAAGCTGAGAAGCTTCCATCCAGAGAAATCCCTGGTGTAAACAGCACAAATGCATGGGGAGCCTCTGCGGGCTCTGATGGCACATAGTTTGAATTAACTTTTCAGAACACTCCAGTTATCTGGAGGTCCGTTTGCACCCATATATACCTATCCAGCCCTTGAGATCAATGCAGGGGGGGCCTTTTGCAGGTGCCATCCCTCAGGGAAACAAGAGGGGTGGCTAACAGGAAAACAGCCTTTTCTGCTGCTGCTCCGCATATTTGGAATGCTCTCCCTAAAGAGATTCATCTGGCACCATCTCTGTATTCCTTTTGGCACCAGGCAAAGACTTATCTCTTTAAAAGATATTGTAATACCTGATTCCTCCCATGGATGCCGCTATGTCCAGCTGGGTTAATTAATTTACTGGAATTTTATACTCGTATTAGATTAACTAGGTTTTTATTGCTAAATGTTTTATTGTTGGATTTTAATATTGTGAGTTTTTAGAATGTGTTATTTTAGCAGTGTGAGCCTCCTTGGGGTACTGTAGGTAGAGTAGGTGGCATATAAATATTTTAAATACATTTAATAAAACAAACACAGATGATGCTGCATCCTGGCAAGGATAAATACCTTCAGCGTCAAAACTTTACACACTGTTGTTGCTACACAACATTTTGGTGTCACAAGTTTCATACATATTGTGAGAACTTCTGTTTCCAACACTACAGTTACAGTTCCATGAATAATAATATGAAGTGAGGTGTTAAATTTACCCCTGAGTAAGCACACAACCCATCTCAGGCAGCCAGTAATTTTGCGAGTTAAAGGCATGAAACTGGCTCAAGTCTCAGGCACAAATTCAGTCCACACATACCAGCTGCCAAAGCACATGCTAAGAAAATAGTATTTACACTATATATATTTAAAAAGTATCAAAAAGTAGTGGCACCTTAAAGATTGCCAATACTTTTCTATCATAAGGTTTGTAGTTCTATAGCCCTGTTCATCATATGCATGAAATTTTGCTGATTGCCATTGTCACAACATTCTGTATTTAATTTCCCTCTGATATCACTGTGTACAATTCCACCCCTCAATATACCACCATCTATATGTATATAAACCTAAATCTCCACATAATACTTCAGGATCTGACGAATCACAGTAGAGCTGGAAGGATCTATAAGGCCCTTTAGTCCAACCACCTGCTCAATGCAGGACTCCAAGTTAAAGCATCCCTGACAGATGGCTGTCCAACAGCCTCTTGAATGCTTCCAAGTGTGGGACAGCCCACAACCCTCCTAAATCATTGGTTCCATTGCTGTGCTGCTCTGACAGTCAGGAAATTTCTCCTAATAGCCAGCTGGAATCTGGCTTCTTGTAACTTAAACCCATCATTTGATGTCTTGCACTCTGGGATTGATTGATGATTGATTGACTGCATTTGTATCCTGCCCCATAGCCAGAAGGCGCTCTGGGCTGGCCCTCCTCTGTGTGACAGCCTTTCAAGTATTTGAAGAGTGCTATCATATCTCCCCTTGGTCTTCTCTTCTCCAGGATTGTTGTTGTTAGTGGGGGAGTCTATCTCCTAAAAGCTTTGTTTCCAGTCCCCTGATCAACTTTGCTGCCCTCCTCTAAACCTTTTCCAATTTGTCTGTGTCATTCTTAAGGGTGGTGCCCAGAACTGGGGCCTAACTAGTGCTAAATATAGGAGAACCAGAACCTCATGTGCTTTGGAAGCTATATATCTATTAATGCAACCCAAAATAGCATTTGCATTTTTTTACAGCCATATCATGTTGGCTCATATTCAACTTGTGATCTACAATTCCACAATCTTTCTCACTTGCAGTACTGTTGAGCCAAGCATCTCCCACCTTATAACTGTGCATTTGTTCCCTTTTCCTAAGTGTAGTGCTTAGCATTTGTCCCTCCTGAATGTCATTCTTCTGCTTTCAGTCCAGCACGCACTCCAGCCTGTCGAGATCACTTGAAATTTCTTTCTTTCTTCCGGGTTATAAACTCTCTCACCCAATGTTGTGTCATCCACAAATGCGATAGCCATTCCCTACACCTCTCTATCAAAGTCACTAAGAAAAATGTTGAAGAGCATTGAGCCCAGGACTGAGTCCTGCGGCACCCCACTTGTTGCCTCTTCCAGTCTGAGAAGGTGCCACTGAAATGCACTCTTTGAGTTCGATTCTGTAGCGGACTGTGGGTCCACCTGATTGTTGTGTCATCTAACTTATGGCAGAGTAAAATTACAATTATTTCATTCATAAACTGCCCAATAGCCAAAGTTCTCTGAACGGTTAACAAGAATTCATTATAAATGGGTAGTTTTAACATGCTACTATTCTTGTAGCTTTTACAGTCGCTATAGTACCCGTTTGCTCTTTTACTATGTGCTCTGGTTGCTGGTGTGCCTGAACCGAATTTGTAGCTGAGACTTAAAACTGATCGCCTTTAACGTGCCACAAGACTATTGTTTTGCTGCAACAACTCACTCGGTTACCCTCTGGAAAAAAAGTTTAAAAATATATTCCAGTGGATCTACACAAGACGAGGCTCCTATAGAGCGATCGCCTGCAAATGATCACGAACCAACGAATCTGTCTCAAGGAGGCCGAGCGTCCTTTCCATGCAAATAATTCCTTCCTTCTCCTCCACTGCAGGACCCCTGGAATTGCCGAAAGGAAGGCCCTTTGCGCACACAGCTCCCCTCCCATGCACTTTGCTACTCTGGTACCAGTCTGGCCCTGTCCCAGCTCCCTGCCGGGATTTCCTCTGCCCGGGATGAACGAACCGTACCTGCAATACAGGCCAAGTGCCCAGCACAGCCTCCACCGCCTGGCTGAAGAGGCCACGTGTCTCCTTCCTCGGCGTCGCCATGACCAGCTGCGAACAGCCACACAGTCGGCTGCCGAATTATCGATGTGCGTCAGGAAACGGGGAGGCAGGCAAAAGGAGACGCGCGTGGAGCGCACGATAGGCGCTCCCTTTGTTAGGTCGAGTCTCTTTCTGGGGGGCACTCATAGTCTTCCCCCACCTGGCGCCCTCCAGATAGGGTGGTTCGCAGCGCCCCTAATTCCCAGTCAGCTGGGCGGGCAGCAGGTTGGGGAGGGCGGGCAGCAGAACTCCAGGTTTATCTAGAGGCTTGAACTAAGTGCCGAATGTTACCTTATTTCCAGCTCATCACCTGTCCAAAGATTTTAAAGTGGTGAATTGAGGAGGTGTCTGTACTTGGAACATTTTTTAAACAGTAAAATCTAGGGTGAAACCCCACAATGCATATTTTCTGGCGTAGAAACTTGCCTGTCATCATTTGCTAAGGGCGAAGGGGTGTCAATCTTTATACACAGAAATACTCTGCTTTACTGGCCATTCTCATCTTACAAAACTGTACCTTGGTGTCTGAAAGTGTTGCTGAAGGAACCCTGCAGGAAATGGAAATTGTAATCCTAAAAATACTAAGCAGTAAGCCATTGTTGTTGTTAGTTGCGAAGTCATGTCCGACCCATCGTGACCCCATGGACAACATTCCTCCAGGCCTTCCTGCCCTCCACCATCCCCCGGAGTCCACTTAAGCTCACAGGGACTGCTTCAGTGACTCCATCTAGCCACCTCATTCTCTGCTGTCCCCTTCTTCTTTTGCCATATATTGTTCCCAGCATTAGGCTCTTCTCCAGGGAGTCCTTCCTTCTCATTAGGTGGCCAAAGTATTTGAGCTTCATCTTCAGGATCTGGCCTTCTAAAGAGCAGTCAGGGTTGAACTCCACTAGGACTGACCTGTTTGATAGTCTCCTCCAGCACCACAATTCAAAGGCCTCAATTTTTCAGCACTCAGCCTTCCTTATGGTCCAGCTTTCACAGCCATTCATTGCAACTGGGAAAACCATAGCCTTGACTATATGCATTTTTGTCGGCAGGGTGATGTCTCTGCTTTTTAGTATGCTGTCTAGATTTGCCATAGCTTTCCTCCCCAGGAGCAAGTGTCTTTTAATTTCTTGGCTGCAGTCCCTGTCTGTGGTGATCTTGGAGCCCAGGAAAATAAAATCTGTCACTGCCTCCATTTCTTCCCCATCTATTTGCCAGGAAGTGAGAGGACCGGTTGTCATGACCTTAGTTTTCTTAATGTTGAGTTTCAAGCCAACTTTTGAGCTCTCCTCCTTCACTCGCATCAGGAGGCTCTTTAGTTCCTCTTCACTTTAGTTTCTCTTCACTACAACCATCAGAGTGGTATCATCTGCATATCTGAGGTTGTTGATATTTCTCCCAGCAATCTTAATTCCAACTGGTGATTCATCTAGCCCCACCTTTCTCATGATGTGCTCTGCATATAAGTTAAATAGGCAGGGAGACAGTATACAGCCTTGCTGAACTCCTTTCTCAATTTTGAACCAATCAGTGGATTCGTGTCCAGTTCTCACTGTTGCTTCTTGATCCACATACAGGTTTCTCAAGAGACAAATAAGAGAGTCTGGTACTCTCATCTCTTTAAGAACTTGCCACAATTTGTTGTGATCCACACAATCAAAGGCTTTATCATAGTCAATGAAACGGAAGGAGATGTTCTTCTGGAACTCCCTAGCTTTCTCCATGATCCAGTGTATGTTGGCAATTTGATCTCTAGTTCCTCTGCCTCTTCGAAATCCTGCCTGTACTTCTGGTAGTTCTCAGTCCACATACTGCTGGAGCCTAGTTTGTAGGATTTTGAACATCACTTTGCTAGCATGTGAAATGAGTGCAATGGTGTGGTAGTTTGTACATTCTTTGGCATTCTCCTTCTTTGGAATTGGAATGTAAACTGACCTTTTCCAATCCTGTGGCCACTGTTGAGTTTTCCAAATTTGCTGGCCTTTTGAGTGTAGCACTTTTACTGCATCATCTTTTAAGATTTTGAATAGCTCAGCTGGAATACTGTCACCTCCACTAGCTTTGTTGTTGCTCAGACTTCCTAAGGCCCATTGGACTTCACATTCCAGGATGTCTGGCTCAAGGTCAGTGACCACCCCATCGTGGTTATCAGGGACGTTAAGCTCTTTCTTGCATAGTTCCTCTGTGTAATCTTGCCATCTCTTCTTAATCTCTTCTGCCTCTGTTAGGTCCCTGCCATTTTGGTTCTTCACCATGCCCATCTTTGCATGAAACATTCCCTTCATATTTCCAATTTTCTTGAAGAGATCTCTGGTCCTCCCCATTCTATTGTTTTCTTCTATTTCTTTGCACTGTTCATTTAAGAAGGCATTCTTATCTCTTCTAGCTATTCTCTGGAATTCTGCATTCAGTTGGGTTTATCTTTCTCTTTCTCCCTTGCCTTTCACTTCCCTTCTTTCCTCAGCTATTTTGTAAAGCTTCCTCAGACAGCCATTTTGCCTTCTTGCATTTCTTTTTCTTTGTGATGGTTTTAGTTGCTACCTCTTGTACGATGTTGCAAACCTCCGTCCATAGTTCTTCAGGCACTCTGTCTATCAGATCTAATTCCTTAAATCTGTTTGTCACCTCTACTGTATATTCATCAGGGATATGATTTAGGTCATACCTGAGTGGCCTAGTGCTTTTCCCTACTTTCTTCAATTTAAGCCTCAATTTTGCAACCAGAAGCTCATGATCTGAGCCACAGTCAGCTCCTGGTCTAGTTTTTACCGACTGTATAGAGCTTCTCCATCTTTGGCTGCAGAGCACATAGTCAATCTGATTTCTGTGTTGACCGTCTGGTGATGTCCATGTGTAGAGTCGTCTCTTGGGTTGTTGAAAAAGAGTGTTTGCTATGACCATTGCATTCTCTTGACAAAATTCTACCAGCCTGTGCCCTGCTTCATTTTGTACCCCAAGGCCAAACTTGCCTGTTACTCCAGTTATCTTTTGGCTTCCTACTTTAGCATTCCAATCCCCCATGATGATAAGGACATCATTTTTTTGGTGTTAATTCTAGAAGGTGTTGTAGGCCTTCATAGAACTGGTCAACTTCAGCCTCTTCAGCACTGGTGGTTGGAGCATAGACTTGGACTATTGTGATGTTGAATGGTTTTCCTTGGATTCGAACTGAGATCATTCTGTCATTTTGGAGGTTGCATCCCAGTACTGCTTTTCCTACTCTTTTATTGACTATGAAGGCTACTCCATTTCTTCTGAGGGATTCTTGCCCGCAGTAGTATACTTGATGGTCATCTGAATTAAATTCACCCATTCCTGTCCATTTTAATTCACTGATTCCTATAAAAACCCCACGCTTTAGAATCTTTAGCGCATCTCGAATGTATCTGCACCTTGTGCTACCAAGAGATATTAGATCCCTGTTCTTGTGTTTCTTGATTCAGTTTCAATTCTCCATCCTTATCCAAAATGTCATCATATCTTATAATCCCTTCAAAAATCAATGCATTTGGATACACAAAAGCTTCCATGGGTGAAAGCCATCTTGGTAATTTATTATACAATTTTATCTTTAACTTTTCCCACACCAACATTAATGTTTTCTAATACAGTGACTTAAAAAAGAGCCATGTGACTTAGCCTTCTCATACCACATATAAGTGTGTCAGCCCATTTGCAAATCATGCCCTTCAAGATACAAAATTCTCTTATTTCTTAAAGTTATCCATTCCTTTTCCTACTCTTTTATTGACTGTGAAGGCTACTCCATTTCTTCCGAGGGATTCTTGCCCACAGTAGTGTACCTGATGGTCATCTGAATTAAATTCACCCATTCCTGTCCATTTTAGTTCACTGATTCCTAAGATGTGGATGTTCTGTCTTGTCATCTCTTGTTTGACCACATCCAGCTTGCCTTGATTCATGGATCTTACATTCCAGGTTCCTATGGAGTATAGAACTTTGCAGCATCAGACTCTCCTTTCACCACCAGATACATCTCCAACTGAGTGTCCTTTTGGCTTTGACCCAGTTGCTTCATTCTTTCTGGCGCTACTAGTACTAGCCCTCCGCTCTTCCCCAGTAGCATATTGGACACCTTCTGACCTGAGAGGCTCATCTTCCGGCACCATATCTTTTTGCCTTTTGGTACTGTCCATGGGGTTTTATGGCAAAGTGGGTTGCCATTTCCTCCTCCAGTGGATCACGTTTTGTCAGAGCTCTCTGCTATGACCTGTCCGTCTTGGGTGGCCCTGCATGGCATAGCTCATAGCTTCATTGAGCTATGCAAGCCCCTTCGTTACAACAAGGCAGTGATCCATGAAGGGGTCAGTAATCCATAGAACTTAGTAAAACTTATGATTGAGTAAACATTCATAGTATTATGCTGTATGCAAGTCAGTATTTGTTCTATTCACAATAAAAGTAGTAGCAAATGAGACAATCTTTCTTTAATTTCTATACCACCCAACAGCAGAAGCTCCTTGGGCAATTTACAAAGCACATTAAAAATAAACATTGTATTAAAACATATTAAATATCATTAAAAGTTTACAATACAATATTTAAAACGAGATTCAAAATTTAAATTAATAAAACAGCAATAATGTACTAATTTACTAAAGCTAGATTACTTTCAGACAAAACTGATACGCATTCATTTTCTTTTCTTTCTCTTTGGACAAGGGAAAAGCAGTTGATCAGAATGATGTTACTGTTAGCATTAACAGTACAAATAAAGAGCATCATGCAAGAAAATAACTATTTAATCCAGAAAGGAGGGCAAGTAATAGGACAGGGGCTAGTTAAGGGGAAGAAGTCAAGGGTTTTTACTAAAACCATTATCAGAACATATTCATGCATGGCTGCTCTGAAATAAGTCCCACTGCATTCAATTGGACTTACTTTTAAAATTATTATATATCAATACATTTATATTCTGCCCTTTCTCTTCTTGCAAAAACATCAAGGCATGATCTCTGTCCTCTCCATTTTATCCTTATGAGAGAGAGGTTAGGTTCAGA